TTCAAACTATAGTCCGGCCCCCCAACATTCTGAGGGACCGTGAACTGGCCCCCTGTTTAAAGTTTGAGGACCTCTGCAGTTGCCCAATATTACTCCAGTTATCAAAAAAAAAGGAGGGGGGAGGGAAAACTGCAGCTATAGGTGCTCAAAGATAATGTGTTCTTTTTCCCCCCACTTTTTATAAGGGTACCAGTTTCCAACGGAATGCCCCGATCTAGACTAAAGCTATAAGGCAATATAAACAACATCAAGAACTCTGGAGACAGGCAGCTGCTTGTAAGATACATTGGAAAGAAACTGGTGATCACAAGCAGATTAGTCCATGGTGGCAGTGACACAAGCTAAGCAGGAGGTATGGATAATCTGGGTAAGTGCCATGGAAAAATAAATATCATGATTGGACTTCAGGCAAATGGAAACATTTCAAATTGGCTTCCTACAGTATTCTGTGGAACATATGATGTCCACATGTCCATTACCAACAACTTTAGCACAGAACACAATAAAGGCAAAGGCTGGATATATTTTCAAGATATTGCATTACAAGCCTCTCCCAAGACAAAACAGCATAAATTAGGGGAGGGGGCAAATTTGCAATGCTAGCTTACTTATACAAAAGGCTGGCAATGTTTTCTTGGAGTACCACCAGGGTTGAAGCCTTCTTGGAAAGCTTATGCGGGTGTAATCTAAAGGATAAAGGAAGGAACATTAAAGTTATCCCAGGGTTAGGTTCCAGCTGGGCTTCAGACGCCTCTCTATTTTTTGCTTTCCCAAATACTTGCTGGTTGATACATATTCTACTCCTTGCTAATTCTATTCCTTAATTCTTGGTGTAGAACACAAGTATGAATGTCCTTCATCTAGACACAATGCACATATGAAGTACATTCATCAAAGTATGCTCTGCCAATTTGTGTCCTCCAGAATTATCCATGTGGGAGCTGTATGTATGAGTGCATTTGTACGTGTATGCACATGCGTGCACGCACACATGCTTAAAAGCATTTTGAAGTAGAATGTATGTTTTTACTTTCGAATTTGTCTATTAACACTACCACCCAACATTAAAAGTATGCACCTATTGAATGCAGACATTAACTATAAGCTACAGTCAGAAAAATGGAAAGTCAAATACAACGCGATTCCCTATTCCGGTTTATATCCCCAGAATATTTCTTTTCAAACACTTTTTTCCCAATATAAATGCAAAGTAAGCAACACTTAGTTTAAACAGAAAAATGCTTGGGGAAAAGAAAGTGCAAGTGGGAAGTACTTCAGTTTTCATTATTCATGCAACTTTTGTTCAAGACACAAATACTAAGTCCAATCTTAGGTTAAACATGCCAAACATATTCCATATTTAAGGAGCAGCCATTACATCTATCTGAGTCCTGAAGTTTGTTTAATTTAGAACATCTCCAGGAAGCTAGCAGAGTACAATGATTAAGGTTCTGGACTAGCAGCAGGAAGACCCAGGTTTCTAGTCTACCCTCAGCCACAGTAGTTCACAGTAGTTCACTAGTTCAAAAGTAGTTCAATCACTGCTTTTCACCCTAGTAACAGTGTTCATAACAAGACTGTTGTTAAGAAAAATAGGAGGATAGAGCACTATGTATACTGCTTTGCGCTCCGGAGGGGAAAGTAGGATATAAATCTAAATTAATATTTAAAATTTATTATTAATCAAAAATTGCAGAAATACGACAAGAAACTTTACATTAGCTATTTTTAACACAGACTGGAACATTTGTGGTGGTTGCTTTAACAGAGATTAAAAGGATTTAAAGGATTTTTTAAAGAAAAAATCAGGTACTGGTTAAAGGAAATACTGTCACGAAACTCATGTTTTCCTTCAAAAATAATAGCCATGCACTTTTTCCTTTCCCCCACCATCTATAATATCCACTACTACCAAAAGCATGATGTAACATCATAGGGTTCAAGTTTCCCCTGCTTTATCATGAATTTTTAAGGGCAAGGCATTATATTAATTTATTTGTAAATGTTCCCACCTCTACATTATTTAATTGGCAAACAGTTCGGTAGGTAAGAAAACTTTCAGGATAGTGATATTATGCTACATATATTATAAAAGATTATTCTGATGGCAGCTAGACAAGCCACAATATTTGAACAGAAATTTTATCTGTAATATCACAATTACAGTCACCCTTTTATTTCCAGTTTTATTTCCATTTTGGTTTCCTATCTAGTATATGAACTCTGAAGCAGCAATTAGATTCCTTTCCTTGAGACTTCCTGCCACAAAAGATTGACAGTTAAAAGGTTTAATACCTAAAAAAGAATATTTGTTGATGCCAATAAAGCAGGTGGGCCTTCTATCTAACATTCCTAAAACTATTATCAACATTAGGGTCACCTATAAAAAGAAGCCCCAGGCATAGTGCAAGCTTAAAAATATACTGTAACCAACCAGTTTACAGTACTCTGATTGTCACCACCTTTCCAGCCACAACAAGAATGTGTTCGCTTTGTATAAAGATCTGATATATATTCCCATAACTGTAGCCCTAAAGTACTTTAGTGCAGTCTTTCAACCCGAAATCCTTTCCTTACCTTTGCAACCTCACAAACTTTAGCACAACTCCTTGAGTAGCTAGTGTGTGGTTAGAAAGAGGAAGCTATGCTTGTTTGCATGGAATCTGCTATTTCCGCCCCTGCCAAAACACTTGTTTAAAAAGTCATGTAATATCTCTATTAGACTGTAAATGCAATTGACAAGGAAATGGCCTACTGACAAAGCATTACCTTTGTGGCAGCGCCAACCAGCCTACAGCAAAATAGCATACAGAATAACTTCAGCATGCATTCCCAAGTAACAAAACAGTGTTTTACATAAATACCACAGAATCTAAGCAAGATCCAGAAAAAGCAATGAAAGTTTGCCCAAGCTTTCATGCTTGCCTGTATCAATTGAATGTCTTAACTAAAACAAAATAGAAAAGCATCTACATATGTCCAGGAATCTTATGAAGTTGGATCATATAACACTGGGAAAACTATCGCAACTGAAATCTGTGTATTTCTTCTTAACCACTGTAACAACTCACTAATAAAAATTAAGAAGAACTATGGGGTATCGAATATACAAAAGAATATTAACTGCATACAAGCCCTTAAAGGCCAGAACACAAATTATTAACAAGAACATGTGTTCTGTGTAAGACAGAATTGTTATTTTTAAAATGGCTTTGCCCTTTAATACATTTGATTACAAGGATTAAAAAGTTTCACAATCTGTCAGTTTGAAACACTGACCCTTTACTTAGAAGCAGCTACATTCATACTAAAAGAAATACTTTCTAATAATTTAATTCTTTTCATTATTTAGTATATCTTATAAACAACTATGTCAAAATTATTCCAGATACGCTCAAGAAGATATCATTTAACAATTTTTTTATTAACCATTACAGTGTTGTTTTAACCATTACAGACAATATCCAACATTTTTGTGAATGTCTCTGTTTCTAATCTATATATGTAGCAATGCATTTAATAGCCAATATGAATTGTTGGTTCATATTGGTCAACTAGCAGGGTTCAGATACTGCACTAAGCAATAAACTATGGTTTACAAACCACAGTGGCTGGATTCATACAATACAGTATGTTCCCACTATTGTAATCAAGCATTTTCCTAACTAGTAGGACACAAGGGCAGAAACTAAAAGTTAGGAATAATATCTTCAACAGCCCAAGCCTAGATTTAAAAGCTTTTCTCCAAGGCTAAAAGAGTAGATGTTTAATTCTGAAGGTTTTTCCCCGCATACCAGAAAGGAAACCATGCTCCCTCAGGAGGTACCTTTAAAAATGTGGTGAGAATTATACACATGATTTTGGAAGGAATAATGGCCTGATAGGACAATTTGAAGTCTCAGGTTTAGAGTTAAAAAATACATTGTCTCTCTCTCTCATTATACTCTGTTACCCATTGTTTCAACATCCTTGAGTGAAACACAATGAACATCTAAAGGATGCCTTGAGAAAGACAGCTGCAGTTTAATATCTGAAACTGCTGACAACAATTAGTCTCCTTTCTAATTATGAATCAAATTATATTGCCTGCCATCTCAAGAGAGAAGAACTAGCTAATATCACATAAAATGGCAGTTCCACACTAACCTCTGAAAAACCACAGTATTTATCAGCTAGAATATTTAGAAAACTATATTGAGTGGATAAAATTACTATCCCTTAGGAATGCTAGCTGTACTTGTACTAAAGTGATGATTCCTAAAATGCCAAAATAAGCTAACACATAAGCATATTGGCAACAATAAACAATAAATGGCATTTTGAAAAATAGTTGCACACTTCAGATGTATAACTATACAATTTAATAACAGCAGTTATTTTTCTTAGATCCTATTTGAAATCATTCTTTTATTTAAATGTCATAAGCATACCATAAAATACTTTAACACCCTCTGTCGCTGTAACAATTGCATAAAACAAAGAGTCAGCTTAGCAAGTTCTGCTTCTGCTTTTCAATGAAAAGAGTTTACAAAACAAAGCCACTTACTCAAAAACTCACAATTTATGTTTCTTACCCTCATTGGATGAATATCAGCATATGGTGGCTTTCCTTCAGCCATTTCTATTGAAGTAATACCAAGGGACCAAATGTCTGCCACACAGTTATATCCGATTTCTTGTATTACTTCTGGGGCCATCCAAAATGGAGTACCTATGACAGTGTTACGTTTTGCCATTGTATCCTGTAAGACAATTTTTTTTAACTTAACACAAAATGTGCAGCATTTTGGACTGATGATAGCTCAATACACACACCTACATGGAAAGACAACTGCATCAGCCACTGTGTAATGAATGAAGCATCCCCAAACCTCTGAGCCTATGTTTATCAGCAACAACCATCAGCCAAAAGTTTTTCTTTAATAGTTTATCACTCAAATGTTGAAGCCACCCTGTTCAGTAGAGTCCCACATTAAACTATTTACATTATGAACATTATATTTCAGAGCATTATAAACTATAGTAGATTCCATCTTTATTCAAAATCTATCCAGGAAATCACTGTTTGGACAAAACCTTGAAAAATCCCCCTAAACAACTAAACGCAAGAGCTCTATATAACCAAGAACCCTATTTTTCAGAGCTTTCTACATCACAGAAAAGGGCTTAAGAGAAAGTGAAGCGAAACCTTCTTCAGAGTTATTCTGCTTAAAGCTACAATTCAAGAGCTCACTGGACAAAGCTTTCTCTCCCATTACAGATCACATATAGAACAGTAAATATCCCCATAAAACTGGTAAGTCAAACTAATTTTAATTAGCAAAACAAAGCTCACTATTAAAAATTTCAAAAGCCTCTCACACTTTATTACTAAAACAGCAAGCGTAACAGACATTTATTTGTTGAGTGTACTAACATAAAATAGTACTTTTAGCTTTACACTTACAGTTAACTGTCCAGCCACTCCAAAATCAGCTAACTTGGCATGCCCCTCAGTATTCAAGAGAATGTTTCCAGCCTTTATATCTCTATGTATTTTTCTCATGAAGTGCAAATATTCAAGTCCTTTAAGGGTAGATTTAAGAATGGTTGCAATTTCATCTTCTGTAAGCTGTAAGAATAAATAAGGTACCAAAGTTTCTCTTTGATATATATACATTCCAAGTGATTGCACACTTATAGAAACACTGTGAATCAAACTACAACACAAAAGAACACAAACTATCTTATAATTATTACTCATGTGGCATACAAATATTATACAAAATGTTTTTAAAATGCAGAAAGCAAGACTTCATCAAGGACCCATTCATGCCATATGGCTTCTTTGAGCCTACATAAAATTGTGAATCAGTCAACAAGTTCAAGAAGGAAACGGAGATACTAATAACAAAGCAAACACTGCAGACAAAAAACCTAAACAAATACAGTAAGAAATGCCTAAAAGATTACAAGCATGTGCAAAGCCTGGATTCTGAATTACATTCAATTTTCTACACCTTCTAAATGCAATTTAATAAGTTTAGGATGAAAACTCTTCAGATAATATAACATTGGGATATATAGGTACAGAGTACACCAACATGCGAAACATAAATTTCAATATGCTGGATTTGACTGCATGACCCTCCACAGTTAATACCCTAAGTAAATGAAAATCACTTATCTCCATATGCACCTATCCAAATTAAGTTTTTTCTTAAGATAGCTGAACATTTTCTAAAATAATTTCATACCAGATTTTTATTCTTTCTAAATATTCATTCTATTCCTGCTTTAAATTTCATTTGGGCTCTAATATCCCTGTATATTTGTAACCTTATAGTGTATATGTTATTTTTTATTTTTGTGGTGAACTCAAAATTATATACAAAAATAAAATGACGCTATATAAACATAAATAATTCCCCAATACCATCTAAAATCCTTGAGTACCACTGCAATAGAAATAAATCATTTTCCATAGAAGTTAAGATTTCTAAATCAGCCATCTTTGATTTCAAGTTTCATGTGTTAAGTAGGACAGACTATGTTTTAGTTTGTCCTTCATCCTTAGGATGCTTCCAACAGAAGAGACACAACAGTTATATGAAAATCAATACAATATATGTCGCTGGATTTGTGAATAGCTCACGTAGGTCAAAAACAGATGTTGAAAATGTTGCTGCTCTATCTCTGTAGAAGATACCTATGGAGACCAATAGGACCTCATAGCCAAAATAGGACTACAAATGTGAACAAAGATATAAACCAAACCCAGAGGTTCAGATCCTGTTCTTTTGCATTTTGCTACAAAGCCAGAATAAGTCTTAAGACTTCATTCCTTTTTATGGGTATCACATATAAGTAGCACATGTGTATAAAATGATCAACTAGGCAGTCCAATATTTTTTTTTTTTTTCAAAACATGCAAGTACTAGAGTAAACATTTTAACACTGAAGCTATGACCATTCTGCCCTGTGGAACAGCTTACCGCTGGAGGTGCAGGCCACCCCCACTCTCCTGGCCTTCCAAAAGAGTGTGAAAACATGGCTATGCCAGATGGCCTGGGGGCCTGATGGGGGCTCGCATTGTTGGAATTAGCTGGTGGGATGATCGATTCTGCTCCCCCGCATCATCTTGAATTGTATACAGTCTTTTTATACAGAATTGTTATTAGTTAATTTTAATACAGATATTTATATTTTTATTGTTTTTACTGTTTTGGATTTTAATTGTGAGCCACCCAGAGTCGTCCTCTGGGGGAGATGGGCAGCATATAAATTTAAATAAAGAAATAAATAAAATCATAATGAGGATTATTTTTGGTTGGCTTAGTGTGTATTGTGAAGTCTCCCATTTGTAGCTTAATTATCCTAAGTTAAACAACTTATGTCTTTGCACAATAGGGGTACAAACTGGCCATGAACTTTAAGTACTTTTTAATTATTTCAAGTATCATTCTTCTACCTCTACAGATTTATTAATAATGAAGAAATAAAGTTCCATTGAACAGATACTGCATTTTCACATCCCAAGATTAAAACAAAACTTGAAAGATTAAATGCTTATGAATAATTATCACATTCTATTCAACTTAAAGGTTTTTAATCGAACTGACAATTATATTAGTTGTAGTAATAAAAACTAGCTTACTCATGTTACAAGTCATGACATTAAAATAATGACATCTGCAACATATCACTGCACAAATTATGTGATTATGTAATATATGTCATGATGCCTGACACCAGTATGTAAGTCATATTATTTGTATTGATGCACATGTTATCATTTGCTTCACCTTGCCGTCCTGCAGATTTTCATGGCAGCTTATCCATAACAACTAAGAATATTAAGGCATTAGACCAGTATTTTGTATGAGTTTACATGGGATAGCAGTGCAATGCATATGTAATGGATGCAAGGGATTATAACCCAACTACATTAAAGGAAGAAAAAAACAGAACTCAATTGTGCACTAAAAACTGTAAAGGGGATTGCATTATCTAATACAGTGACTACAAACACATATCACAGAATGATGAAGGGTAAGAACAACTCGAAAGTATGCTAACAAATTCTCATTCCTGTATATCAAAGATTGAATTTCATTTAATATGACATAATTACCTAAACTCAGTGGGAAAGCTAAGCTATTCTAGCAAAAGCCTTATGGATCATAAAGGAAAATGTAAATTTATCTTCTTTACTGACAATCTAAAATCTCGGAGTATGTATACTGCTTGGCTTGGAATGTAAGAGGAATAGGGTACAATTAAGCAAAAGAGGACTGCAGGTGTTACCTTTAAAATTAAACCTGAAATTTTGTTCCTTCAAGAAACCTGCCAAATCTGAAGAACAATTTGACCAGGCAAGTAAATAGAATACTTCAAAAGTAAATACATTCAGGAAGGGGGAAATAATATTAAGAGGTGACTTTAACCGAGCAATTTGTATAGAGATACAAGTAAAAAAAAAAGAGTATTTTTTTTAAAAAGCAGAGATTTTTAACAAAATGTATATTAAGGGACAACTGGAGAGATTTTAAACCTAATATTAATGAATCAATGAGATATACATATTCAAGGATTATATTCTTGTTTCAGATATTCTGAGCATCTGCGATCCACAAAAAAATGGCTCTAGAACCATATCAGATCACGCAAGTGAAAGTAAATGTAAGAGAGAAGAAAGCAAATAATAATCTGGAGTCTTCATACAACTTTATTAACAAAGAAGGAAGGCATCAGGAAGGATTGCCAAAGCAGTAGATGAATTTTTCAATAAAATTGTCATCATGGTAGAAGTGACAATATACTTCTACAGCATCAGCTTCAATTAAAAAAACCAATCTGAAAAGGCAAATAGAGTTAAAAGAAGAAACAGTGCAATTGGAACAGCAACATAAAATTACTACAGCTAAAAAAAGTTCTACATTACTAGCCAACACTTTGAATAAGGAAAGTAATTTCACCTTTTGAAAAATGAACATGGCAATCTAATCCTAGACCAGCGATGGCAAACCTATGACACATTTTGGGTGACATGCCAGCGTTCACCAACACCCGATAACAACTATTCTCCCTGTTTGAGTTACCAAAGAAACTGAGTTTGTTTTATTCATATTTCATTTTTGTAATTATTTGACATTTCTTTATATAATACATAGCACCACATATGATTGGGCTGTATTTTTTTTTAAATAAATGAATACGTAAAGAATTGTTTCTGTTTTGGGGGGAGGGGTGACATGCCAGTAAAGTCAAGTTAGGCATTTTCCGAATTTTTGACACACCAAGCCCAAAAGATTCGCCATCACTGTCCTAGACGATACAGTTAATCAAGGCTGAAAAGATACTACTTTTAAGCTGATACTACTAATCAGCCTAAAGAACAGATATAAATAATTATTTGAATTAAAACTCAATCCAACTTATTACAGAACAACATAGAAATCAATTTACTAGTATATTATCAATGGAACTTGAGGAAATAACTAATATGCTTAAAATACAGCTAGTTATGGTCTAAATCGGTTTACCAGTTATTTTTATAAGGTATTTAAGAAACACTGCCATATTTTTGCTACTTTTATTACTCTATCCCATAAGAGGGTTTAATTTGGGACTCTAAGTTCAAATCTAGTATAGAAGTCATCTCAAAAGATAGGAAGGATCATATGCACATTTAAAAGTATAGACCTTCATTACTGAACTAAGATATTAAAATATCTACATCAATATTGACCAATAGATTAAATTCAACTATTGGTAACTATATTAATCTAGATCAAAAAGATTTATTTAAATAAATTTTATTTAGATACCTATAAGATCTTCAGTATATTGGAATGGCCATTATTGCTTAAGATATTGGAAAAATGCAAAGTAGAAGTTAAGTTTATAGATTAAATTCACATATTTTATTTTAAACCAATTATTTAAGGCTAAATTATTGGGATTCACAACCCATACAGTAATTTATCAAGAGGAGCAAAACAGATTTGACCACTCTCTCCTCTACTGTATATAAGTAGTATATATTCTACTACCATTGAAGGCCTTTTTCCAAAATTAAGAAAAACTCAACTATTGCTAGTAGTAACACCCTATAGGGAATGGCTTGCGAGCTCATTTGCAGACCATATTGTTTTGCTGTTATCTAAGTCAAATAAGGATTTCCCTTAGGTCATAGAGGAACATTAAAATATCCGGAGGTAACAGGCTTATTTTTAAAAAATATATATTGTGCCAAATTACAAAATAAATTAAGGGATAAATATTATTTCAAGATTTATCATAAACTTATACAATATTTAGGGATTTTAATTCTCTAACCCGTTTCCAAATTATATACTGTATGTTGCATATTAAAGTCAACAACTTAAGTCATGCCATTCATTAAACTTATCTATTTGGAGGAAAACTGTATCCTTAAAAATTATACTCTCTTACCTATTATATCTTTTTCAGACACTATCAGTCTACTTAATCAGGAAAACTTCTAACATCATGCAAATAAATTTTAAAATGTGTATTCAAAAAGAATAGGGCAGGTATAAATAGAAAAGTACTATAACCTAAAATCTCAGAAGGATGGAGATTTTCAAATATATTGTTTTATTTTATAACTTTCAAAATGAAACATGCTATCTCCATCTTATTAAGAAATAAATTTAAAAGATGGGTAGAGATTAAATTATCCAATTTGTACACTCAAGGCCTGGGTATAATCTTATTTATGAGAGAATAAATTTAAAATGGCATGAGGAAATCTACAAAATCCCTTTTTGAAATCGTCTATAGAAATCTGGCAAAAGTACTGCCAAAAATTAACATCGTCCCCTTCTCTACTAATGCCCTTTACAGAATATCAACCTTTTTTGAAGAATTTAAAGGAACTATATGCTAATTTTTCAAGGGGCCTGTACAAACATGTCCCTAGAGCAAAAATTTCAGATATAATATTTTATAAAACAATAAAAACTTACCGTTTTATTCCGTAATCTAATTATGTCTGAGACAGAACCAGCTCCACAGTACTCCATAACAATCCAGAGGTCTGTGTTCTTAAAATAGCTGCCATAGTACTTGACAACATAAGGGCTAAACATAAAAACATGGCTGTCAACATATAGAAGTTAACCTTTAAGGATATTAGGAAGCAGTTGTTTTTTTCCCCCCTGAGCAGCTGCACAGATCTTAAATTTTATGATAAGATTTACTAATCTTCAAAAGAATTTTTTAAAAAACTGCTAAGCACCTGCAAATGATAAAAAGTCCTTAACAGATAATCACTTACCAATTTGTACAAAAACAGATGTCTTTTTAAATATTTATATAAGCCATATAAGACATGTAAGATTAGTAAAAGAAAAAAAAATGATTATGGAAATATTCTCAAATGGAAAATATTCACAAACCAGACTTTCAAGTAAGCATTCAAATACAACTACAATCTGAAAAGTAGTTTTTTTAAAAGAAAAAACATGTCTACCTCTCATCCAAAAATCTGCATGAGCTCTAATATATATTTGGCAAATTCCTTTATTAGGATCAATCAAATAACCCACATGATTCTACAAGCTTTTGAGTTTTTCCAAAAATCTTTATCAGGAAAGTCCAGAAAGTAGTCCAGAATTGAACATGAGGTTTGCAATTCAGGCAATATATTGAGTCTACAAACTGAATGTTTCTGCATATACCTTCTAGAACAAATGCTGGTCAACTGCATCAACCAACCATCTGATACTCCCAGGCATCCCAAGGAAACCTTATGCACGACACTCTTTTGCAATTTCCAGTCAGCAACTGAGGCTGAGGTACATGTTTGTCCACAATTCACAGTTAACTGACTTTGTCCAAAGTGCTCCCTAAAATTTTTAGTTGACCATCCAAGTTATCTTGAGTGAGAACACCTGTTTTGTATGCAGAGGACCCTAAGACCATTCTTTGCATCTCCAGGAAGAGTTGAAAAAACTTCTGCCTGAACCTCTGCAGAATAGCAATTGGTCGGTGTTAACAGTTGCTGGGTAGACCCATAATCTGACTCAAAAGAAGTGATTTCATCCCTCTAGTGATTATACTGTTTAAAGCACTGAGACAACTCATACTGGATAATGGCAGAATTTAACACTTTCAATCTTCTGAAGCTAGGTAGCTTTCAAGTTAGAGGGAACCTCTATTTTTGTCCTTTTACTACCAAGTTATGTACACCTATTACTACATCATACTAATATTATCATGACATCTCAACACTGTTCAGTGAGCATCAACCCCCATCTGAACAGGTATCTAACTCTAAATGAAAGTACATAAAATCTATTATATCCTTATCAGAGATATATAGTAGACTTTAAACCTTCCACCTTACAACTGTGCTATTCCTAAGATACAATACTTGGGACCATCACCATAACAAATTCTGACAACCTTACCCTAAAGATTAGCAACCTGCAATAAAAGGAATGATTAAAGAACTGCCGAAGTATATGATATTTGAATATTTAGAGTCAAGTAGTTTTCTTCCAATTTTGTAAGTCAGGTTATGTTAGTCTTACTTTAACTACTGTGTGTTTTTGAGCATTTGTAATTTGTCCATAAAGATCTTTACTGATATAAAGCAAACCTCAAAAGAAAGAGAGTTTTTCTCCCTGCAAATATTTTACAAGGGAGCGATTCACCAATATTTTACTAAGGGCACACCCTTATCTTTGTTCATCACCTATCAATCACTGCCAACCTTGGCATGTAAAGAAACTCCACTTAATCCTTTGTACTATATTGTCTACCTTTGTAATCTATCTGAAGAACCATTTATAAAGCTCCAATGTCTTGTACTCTTACTTACACAAACAACTCTGCTATAATTTAAGAAATTTCTGCATGTTAATATATTGGCTTTTTTCTCTTGGCTTTATTAGCCTGGAGATTGTCTCAGTAACTAAATAAAAATATAAGCATTTATTTGAAACAAATAGTATTTGCAAAAAAAAAAAATCCAACAATATTCCTAAGATTTTCAGTCTGACATAAACACTTGAACATAAATAACATTTCTATTAGGAAACATTTAAATAACCTTAAATTGAGGGCCACTGTATATGGAGCACACTATATAGTACAGTTGTGCCATTTAGAAATGGTTTTGTAATAAGTAAGAGCACAATAACTCTCTTTTACTCATTAAAGCAGGCCATTATTTTTCAGGCTATATGTGACCCTGAAAAAGCTGCAGCTGCTTTAAGGAATCACTAAAATTAATGTGACTCTTAAAGCAACCACATTTTTTCAGGCACAGATGGAGGCATGAAAAATGATGGAAATAGAAGAGACAGACACTGTGCTCACATGAGGTCCAAAAAAATTCTTCCAAATCATTCCCAAGCTTGCACACACTTATTTCCTAGTTAGTCAGCTCACAGACATTCTATCCCACCTTACATAATAGTATATTCTGCTAGGCAACAGCGTGCTCTCTCTCTCTCCACACAAACACACACCTTCTTCCACTGGTTATTTCACTTCACTATTTATCTTGCTTCTGATTTTAAGAATGATTTTACTTAAAAGTTGCATGTTTTAAGATGAATACAAATGGAACTAATTACCTAGGAAGTTAATAGTCTCCCTTAACTGGATGTGTTCAGCTATCCGGCATGGATATTTAAATTTTGGATTCTTGCCCCTTTGAACTCTATGATTCTTTAAGATATGTGTAGCATTTGCCAGGACTAAACATTTAAAACTTTTCATAGAACCAAAAAAACCTGCAGCAACTGTTTTCACACCACTGGCTCCATCAGTCCATTCTATCCATTCATCTACACCAGCAAGCAGAATGGAAAAGCAAATAAAGCATCTATATTTTTATCACCATCTTATAAAAAAAATTCAAGTGGCTTTCAGACTCTGCTTACATTTTTCAAAAGATCACTATCTAATAAAAAAAAATTCTTAAAATGGCAGAGTTTGCACCATAAATTGATCCATACCTGTCACATTGTTGCATTATAGAAATTTCTTTAATTATTTCCTGTAGATCCGATTCAACAGGGACTTGCTTAATTGCTACGACTTGTCCAGATTCTTTATGAATAGCTTTAAATACACTGCCATAAGACCTAAAAGGGAAATTAATATTTAGACTGTTGTTAACAAAATCACCATGTCGACTCAAGCCACTGATTACAACAGCTTCTGCAACAGACACATTTATTGCTTATACCCAACATTAACTACAGCATTATGAAGTACAAGAGGAAGAATAAATGGGCTTGTGTCACATTCCAATACAGTTTTTTATTACTTATGCATTGCAAGCTGTTACATGGTTATACATACTTTTTTTTCTTAATTATTTTTATTTTGCATTAGCTGCCTGTTCATTTTTCCATCTGTAAGACCCTGATCAGCAAAACAATGGAAAATAATGCCTTTCCTCTTCTAGTAGCCAGTGATCAGCCTAATGGCAGGAGGAAACCAGCAATCTATAAAGCCTTGATGCTACCTTCTTCTCTCTTTAGAATTGCTAAGAGGAGAAGCTTGGGCATCCCAACATATTCCCAACAACCATATTAAAATTACTGCTTTCTGCAAAGGTGGTAGTGCCTCCCTTTTAAGCATGGGCGCTGACATTTTAGACAGAAATGTACTGGCATTTGGAGAGTGAACCCACTGTTAGCATGTATGTACACAGAGTTGACACTGAGTTGATGGCACATAATCACTCACACAATTAACAAGCAAATGAATAGGAGTGAATAGTGCATGTATTTTTTCTTAAGTTTTAGCTTCCTTTTAGGCTTTTTGTACACACTTTCCACTAATATATGCATTTTTGTAAATATCTCCCCATCATGCTATTCCTTTAGGGTAATATGTTTAGCACAGAAAAAGGAGTAAATAATATTTAATTTAATTTAAATTAAAGACATGAAAAATTAAAGACATGAAAAGAAGAGGACCCACATTTCTATTTTTGTAGAAGAAAATGTGGCATAAATAACATTTCCAGATAGATTTCCATTCAACAACATAACACTGGACCCAGACCCACTTCAAAGTGACACTTGAACTGAAGGGACCAGTTGTAAGGAAAAGCTGCCCGTAACCCCAGAATGCTGTCAAATTGCAAGTTATGTCATTTGTGTTGATTTACATCATTTACTCCAATTTATGATGTAAAATTACAGTGGGGCAAAAAAGTATTTAGTCAGCCACCAATTGTGCAAGTTCTCCCACTTAAAAAGATGAGAGAGGCCTGTAATTTTCATCATAAG